ATTTATTATTTCTTGTAATATGAGAAACTACTTTGGCAGTAACAATACACAGTGTACTAACCATTGTTACTCTCCTAAAATCTTGTACTGAGATTTTGTACCATTTTTTTTCTTTAAAATAAAATAACTGATGTCAAATAAAAAATAGAAAATCATAAAGATATATACCTGTATCTGTAACATGAGAACATTTTCCCCTAGACATTATAATACACTGATAAGTACCTAGGCACAGATATATACAACTATGTGTCTCATAATGTGATGAAGGCAAAAATACCAAAAAGAATTATTAACTACTTCTGCAAAAAATAGAAACAGTGTTAGTCATTTAATACTCAAGCTGGCAGCTCTCTGAAAGCTCAACTGTCAGACAAGGAGAAATTAGTAAATAAATTACACAACTTTCATCATGTGTCTCAGAACATTAAAAAGATGTGTTGGCATTTAATAAAATAATTTGTACTGCTTCATCAGAGCTTCTTAAGTGAAAATGACTTTTCCCCTTAACTGTGAGTATACGGCACGAAGGCCACAGAACTCTGAGGACATCAGGGTCTACGATCTGGCCTAGGGCTAAGTTCTAGCAGTTTTCCCACACTGCTACTGCACAATGAGTGCAAATGTTGATATAATGACAAAGGCAAAGAACATGTTAGCATTAAGAAAATTGTCTAACCTTGTACATTCCCCGAAAGGATCTTGGCCCTCTTAGGTACCTCAGGGGCTGTATATTTACTGTTCTAGGTAGAACATGTGCAAAACTGATGCAGTCCAATATAAGTCTGATCAGTTTGTTTTGTTTGTTTGTTTTTTGGCCTTTTAGGGAAGGGTCTACAGGGTGTTCAGGGTCTCAGTACTAGATTGGACTCGTAGTGATCTGCCTGTTTACAGCCTCCCAAGAGCTGGGATTACAGGTGCACGCTACCACGCCCAGTCTTAATTGCTATCTTAGTGCACCGTAGTCTAATGAGTTTTGACACTACAACTAGAGAACAAAATTACATCCGCATTACTGAAGATTGCACTCCCATAGTAACCACGGGAACAAGTGAAACTATCACTAAGAAATCTGTATAATTATCCATGTATGTCACCAAAAAAATATACTGAGGGGAAAAAGAAAACTGATGGCAAACTTCCTTTGTTACGGGATTCTGCTAGACTTTTATAACTATTAAAGTGCATAAACCACACATGAGGGTACACGCCTATAATCCCATCACTAGGGAGGCTGAAAACAGGAGGATCACTTATGAGTCCAAGCTGCATAGTGAGACCCTGTACCAAATACATAAAACTAAAAACCTTTAAAAAAAATTAATAACTATATTTTACATATGTACAACACTCCAACTAAAATAACATCAAGAGAAAAATCCAAGCTAGGCATGGTGGCACACACCTGTCATTCCAGTACTTGGGGAGGCTGAGGAGGAGGGTTGCAAATTTGAGCCCAGCATGGGCAACTTGGATGTTCAGCAAGTCTATCTCAAAATTAAAAAGCAAAACAACACAAAAACCAGCCTCGGATGTAGGTTAATGTAAAAGCCCTTGGTTCAGTTCCCAGAATGAATGCATGTATGTACACACTGGTTTATGCACATATATATACATACATACACAGCACACCCAAATCCATTCTCCCTGCTCAGGGAAACCCACACTAATAACAGTGACAACATCAGTACTACAAAGTGACAGTCAAGGTAATGCCACTTTACCAAGCTGGTTCTTCATCCCCATGAGCACGGAGTTCATGTGTGCTTTGGATGCATACAGCTTGCTCACGGCCTTCCTCGACCTGACCATCTCCTTGGCCAGCACCACACACACGTCCTTCTGGCCCTTCTTGGCGGCGTCTTTCACAGACCGTTTCACTTTCTCTTCTTCTCTCTGGATATCTACATTTAGGACATCACAAATCAAGAGTACATCAGACTTGCTGAACCCTAATCTCTTTATTGTGATCTAAATATTATCTATTCAGTAGTAAAACATTAGAAGACATAAATAAGAATAATTAACTTGGGGAGCAATCATTATTTCCAGATGCATCCAAAGTCATTTCAGAGTGGAAAAGAAAAACACAATCCTATTACATTTGACAAAATTTCAAAAACAATCTCTGTGAGCCCACTCTAAGATTTATTGCTACTGATAATAAGGAGCTTAAAAAATGCATTCCTGAGCTTATTCTAATATTAAGTGGCATGCTCACAATTAAATTAGCATAATCTATGTTTAATCAATAAGTTTATAATAAACCCCTACAAATTAAAGAATGCCTAAATATATTCAAAGTACTGTATCATCATCAACTAAAAATAAAATATGTCATTACTATATGCTATACAGTCAAAAGGATTAATTTTTATTTGTTTATTTTAATGTATTTGGTTGTTACAGGTTCTTGCTATGCAGCTCAGACTCACAGTGATCCTACTGTTTTCAGCCTCCCCAGCACTAGGATTATAGGCATGCGCCACCATGCCCAGACTCTGTGGCCAGGTCAGCCCGCCCTGGGAGCTGGGCTGGCGTGGCATGTGGTACTGGGGCTAAAACTAGGGTCCCTGTACTTGCCTAAGCAGGTACTTTAGGCCGCTGAACTATCTCACTGGCCCCCTAATTTTAAAAAATGTAATAAAATTTACTATCCTTTTTTTCTTTTCTTTTTTTACTGTGGTACTAGAGATTGAACCTAGATCCCCACACACGCTATATATGTGCCCTACCACTGAACTACAAGCCCAGAACTTTTATAATAGCCTTGGTAAGGTGCACAAGCTGGCTTCACACTCACGGTCCTTCTGTCTCAGCCTCTCAAGTAGGTGGGACTGCAGGCACGTACCATCATATACCACTTACTGTTAAATGTACAATTCTGTGGTATTAAACCCATTCATATTACTGTGCATTTGTCACTACCACTCATCTTCAATCCTGTGAGCCCACCAAACTCTTCTCATAATCACTGTCCCTGTACTACAGTGCACAAGCGCCTCCAGGTAGAAAGCAGGCCCATTTTACGGCTGTTTCACTTCCCTCAAGAATCACAATCCTGTAATGTCCTATAAGCCCCTGTGTTCAATTTCTAGAAAAAAAAAAAAAAAAAAAAAAGGAAAAGGAAAAAACCTGTTTTATTTAAAAATATGTTTTCCTTAATTTACAGTCATGCTAAAATATGCAAATAGAGTAATGAAAATAGAATTGCACCATTTATGTACAATTTATGCAGTCTGAACTCCACAAAAGATTTTTTTTATTAAACTCCATAAAAAGGCATTTCTTTTTATTCAGTACAAAGAAATTTACTTAATTCTTACAAAAGTTTCTTTTAATTTATTATCTTTCTTAGACTGATTATAGAACTAGAAAGCAATTAGGATAACTATAATGTGGGAATAAACTATCTTATAGTATAGATATAATTTATTTTTAAAAAACCAAAAGGTAGTAGAAGACAAAGAATGATAAAGTACCTCTTATTTGTCTGTCAACAACTCTCATTTCTTTTCTTATCTTCAGTGACCATTCATTGACCTGGCGAAAAATTTAAGAAAAGTAATTGTAAGAGAAGTAACTAAGAGAGGGAGAGAGAGCGTGACAGACAGACAGACTGTAATCCCCAGCACCATGTGCCACACCGGCCCTGCCCCCGGGGCACACTGAGCGGCCACCGACACCAAGCCTGGTGGCACATGACTGTAATCCCAACGCTGGGGAGGATGAAAACTGGAGGATCACTATGAGTCTGAGCTGTGTAGTGAGACTCTGTAGCAAATATATTTTTAAAAAAGTAAACGTAACATAACATGACATGAAGTGTAGGACCAGGGATCTAGCTCAGTGGTACAGGGCCTGTCTGGCAAACATGAGGTCTTGAGTTTGATTCCCAGTACCCTTCTCTGCAAAAAGTTAAGCAACACCAGAAGTTTTATGACATCCTCACCCTCACCCTGTCTCTTTATTCACACTGCACAGAAGTTCCAAGCTATTCAAGACTTGGAGCTGAAAGCAGGCTACAAAGTCCTTACGTAAAACCTCAGAAGATTCAGGCTACCCTGCAACTACACAAAGATTTTTCCAGAGGTCCATAAGCAAAGATAAGTTTTAAGGGTATCAAAGAGTTGCATCCTTTAAATGCAATTGTATAAAAAATTACTCTGGCTATATCATGAGAATTCCTTTTTTCCTTCTTCCCTTAATATCTCCTACCTACTTATACTTGCCTGTCAGATAAAAAACCCTGAAGCACTAAAGAGAGCGAATAGGAAATACTAGCACACTGAGACTATTATAAATAACACCAGTGATTACAAATTTATTATGAAAGTTTTCCAATCTTTTGCTTTTCAAAATATTACAGGAAACCTGAGTTGTCAGGTGATTAATCATTAAAAGTAAATTTTATACTGAACCACTCACTGTGTGCTTTCAGGCACTGACTCAGAAGTAATTCAAAGACCTGAGTGACACAGCCATAACAAAACTTCCATTAGCATCTAGTTATTTATATAAAAGAGATTTCTTAGCTGTTAAGTGTAATAAACAAAACAGGAATATAAGTGATACGAGCCCTACAATTACCCATGGATACATGGACTATGGGCCTTAAAGAATCTGTATTAGATTTATTTCAATAAATCTCACCTTTAATGTTTCATAATTATTTAACAAAATTTGTAAACCATTTATTGTGCAACAATAAATAACTCCACTCCCAAGTTAAAACTATGTGGTGACACAATCTTTTAAATTTCTAATTAGGTTCAATTTGTGTATATTTTTGAAGCAAAATTCATATCACGCACAACCATTTTGAAGTGCACAACTCAGTGGCATTGTGTGTATTTACAATGTTCTGCAACCACCAACTCCCTGGATTCCAAACCTTTCCAATGCCAGCAGCATTCACTGGTCACACCTGCAATCCCAGCTACTCTGGAGGGGAAAGCAGGAGGACTGCAAGCTCTAGGCCAGCTGAGGTAACTCAGTAAGGCCTTGCCTCAAGAAGGCATGTAGCTCAGCAGCACAGCCCCAGCACCTTAAAACTGACAACTTTCTCAATACCTTAGAACACACTATCCCTCTTACATTATCTCTTCCTATCTTTCCTTCCTAGCAACCACTTTTTTTTTTTTTTTTTTGGTTAGTTTGCTTTTAGGTTTTTGAGACAGGATCTCACACACTATGTAGCCAGACTGGCCTTGAACCCTCAGCAATCCTCCTGCCACAGCCACCCAAGTACTGGGATTACAGGCCTGCGCTGCCAAGCCTGGCCAATTTCTTTATCATACCCAATATGCTAGTTGTGAGGTATTTCACTGTAGCTTTATGCTGCATTTTCCAAATGAAGTAATGAACATTTTCATGTGGTTTTTGAACATTTGTCTATTTTCTGTCCTTTTTTTGAGACAGGGTCTTATTATATAGTTCAGGCTGGCCTTGAACTCATTCCCATCCTCCTGCCTCAGCCTCTGGAGTGCTGGCATTACAGAAGTGCACGACCATACTCGGCTTCTTTTCTGTCCATTTTATTACTGGGTTGTCTTTCTGTTGTTGAGTTGTACAAGCCCTTTACATATTCTGACAGCAGACACTCATCAAATACATGATGATGCAAAACTTTCTTCCCATTCCATAGGCTGTCTTTCCATTTTCTCAATAATGTTCTTTCATGTACAAAAGATTTTAATTTTTATAAAGTTCAGTTTCTTTTAAAAACTTGTTTCCTGGGCTGGAGAGATGGCTCCATGGAATAAGTGCTTCCCTGGCAAGCGCAAGGGCCTGAGTTCAATCCCTGGTCCCGCCAAAGTAATAATAATAATAATAATAATAGAAAAAATGATTTGAAAAACTTGTTTCCTGAATTTGTTCTTATTACTTAAATGTTACTTTGGTGAGGTCTTTCTGACCTCTAGAGTAAGTTAAAGCCCACTGCAGTACACAGAACCTAGCCCTTCTCTCTTTTTTGCAATACTCATCATACATACAATTACTGCAGGCTCCAGTAGTTCAAATACCTTTTCTTATTCACCAAGTGCTTGCATAATGCCTGGCACAAAGAAGATACTCAATTTCATCCCAAAGTAACAAAAACCTACCTGAACTTTTATAGGACCTTTTTGGTCCTCATCTTGGTCCATCAAGTTTGTATTTGTCCATGGATAAGTTAATGGAATCCTGTCAAGTCAATTTCAAACTATCACTTCCAGTGCAACCCATGGTGAGAATAAAGACACTAAAGTATATTTACAGTTATGGGGAACCAAGGGGCCCTAAGTCCAGCCGTGGTGATGGCTATCTAGAATAAAGGCCTCAACCCAGGGCCAAAACCAGGTTTTATTCAGTCATGAACATGGAGTGCCTTGAGGATGAATGAGTGAGAATGGCAGGAAGCAGGTATGTGTGAGAACTGGGCTAGGTAGGAGGCCTGTATTTACCTCTGCAGTATGGAGAGAGAAGGATACGCAGAGTAATCTGACTTACACAACTGAGATAGTATGTGGTGTTTTGGGGTCCAGTGCTTTAGCTCTGATGTGTAATCTTTCAAGCTCCAGGAAATCATAGTCTCTACCTCGAGGCTCCACCCCAGCCAACAGCATGGAGCACTGGTTCTTCATTCCTCTCAACCCAGCTCATATTAAAGAGCAACAGTTGGTGGTTACCGGGGAAATACGTGAGCTGTCTTCAAAGACTACCACTAGCATCTCGGCTAGACCAACATGCATTATTTAAAGCCAAGTGAAGGGATAAGGAAAAGTCTAAGCCAGCTCTGTACATATCAATACATGGAAATAGGGTCAGGCACTGCCAAAATGGAGACAACTGCTCTTCTCTCAAGGAGTTACCCAGGTGGTCCTCCACAAACTTTCTGTATGGATTCTTTCGTGTCAGAGAGTAAAACTTTCAAAAAATTTGCTAGAAAGAAAACTTATTTTCAAATTTAAGAAATCAAAAAAGACTTTATAAAAGAAAAACTTACCTAAGAGAAATGGGAAAAACCAAATGTGGGTAGGCATGGCCCAGACCAGTGTTTCACAACCTGAACTACACAAAACTCACCCGGGGAAATTTTTAAAAATACTAATTTCACTGGGCTGAGTATGAGTCTTAAAATCTTTCCAACACTCTAATGATGCTAGAGTTAAGAAATACAGTCACAGACAAAGAGCTAAAGAAAATGTATCAAACAAGTCTCATAAGTGTCATGATGACTACAGTGAAAAGCCCCTGGGGGTGCAGGGAAGCATGATTAAAATAGACTGAAGAAAATTCAACAAATATTTACCTAGTGTCAACAGAATTTTAGTAATAAGGGAGGGGGACTTATAATCCACAAGAGTACATACTGTATGCAATACAAGTAAAAACATATTAGTAAATTAGATAACACATTGTGAAAATCACAAGTAACCCACAGAAAGTTCCATGCTATCAAAACATATCCTTTATCCTAATTCATTCTCAGTCTACCATACGCCAGGCAAAGTAGGCAAACAAAACCAAAACCAATAAGAAGAAACCATTTTCTATAAATAGAGGTAAAACAAATCATAAGACATATAGAAAACAAAATGACTGAATTATGGTTCTATCTTTCACTGAATTTAATTACAGGTAGATTAAAAATATAAATAAAGGATGCAAAACTGTTATTTTAAGAAAACAGTATTAGAACAC